CAGAAGAAGGGTAGGTAGAGGAGTATTAGGATAGGTAGGATCCAGAAGAAGGGTAGGTAGAGGAGTGTTAGGATAGGCAGGACCCAGAAGGGAGAACTGAAGTACCAGCTAGCAGACATCTGTCATGCATACTGTTTGCAGTTATTTTGTAACACTTAATGGGGTGATACAAAGAAAAGACGCCTGTCCCTGCTCGGCTATGTCATGCCATGTATCTCCTGACCAGATACAGGTTAGAGGGCATGCTATTTGAAGCAAGGATGGCACTTGGTGGGCTGTTAGAATTTTGAAATTTCTTCCTGTTTACCTCTCTTTTTTTATTTTCTCTGGTTATCTTTTTGCTCTTCTCAATTCTCTTTTAAAATACCCCTCCCCCGTGAAGCCCTCTGTAAAAAGAGCAGTGAAAACAGCACTTCCTGGGCTTCCTAGCCTACGCTTCTTCCTTATGCTGCCTTCCAGTGCAGATGCCACCAGGACTTCATTTCTTTAGCTTTTATTTATTTATTTATTTATTTTTTAAAGTTAGCATCTTGCTGTGTAACCTGGCTAGCTTGACAAACGCACTCTGTAGCCAAAGTGTGGCAGTCTTCTATCTCAGCCTTTCTAGTGCGGGAACATAGAGTGAGCGACCACACCCGGCCAGCAGTAGTTTTCTAATGGCCAACTCCAGTCAACTTGCAGCCTTTTGACGTCTACGGAACTCTGCTCTGCTGCTACTCCTCTCCCTCCTGATTTCCCTCTTTGGATTCCTCTCCTAGGCTTTAATTATCTTTGAAGTAAATGATGCCTAAGTGAAGTTTGCAACTAGAACCGGAAGTCCCGAGTTCCTGCTTCCAGTTACTGCTGGTTTACTTTGGGCAGATTCTCCATGTTGGCATTTGGGAACCGTAGGCATGGCCTAGATGACACTATACTTATGTAGTGTTTTGCATATTGAATGAGAAAAACCAGTGGCCTACATAATTATTAGTAGGCATATAAGCACTTTGAATGATATGTTTGCTTATTTATTATGTGTATTTTTTTTCTTCTTACACTGATAATGGTCAAATTTTATAAGTCCTTGTGCATGCTGGGCAAAACTCTAGCCCACTGAGATACATCACAGCCCCAGTATTTCAAATTTACCTTAGATTGGAGAAATTTTGAGGCATTCTAAAATTGTAACAAATTACATTGAGAAACACATAATTTAAAAATGTTTCATTCATCACCAGGAAGGTGGTGGTGCATGCTCTTAATCCCAGCACTTGGGAGGCAGAGGCAGGTGGATCTCTTGTGAGTGTGAAGCCAGCATGGTCTACAGAATGAGTTCCAGAAAAGAATCCAAAGCTACACAGAGGAACTCTGCCCCCCAAAAACCCCACAAATAAATAAATAAATAGATAAATAAATAAATAAATAAATAAATGGTTTTATATGAGTGCATATGTTGAAGTAGCCCAACAAAAGTGTAAAGAAGGGCTCTGTAGGGCTATGCTTTAGTGAAAATAGAAGATTGGTGCACATCAGATATGTAAGGAGTGCTCTAAAAATAGTTGTTACTCTAAAAATATAAGTTTGGAAAGGACTTTAAAATGTACTTTACATAATTAGAAGTTTAATAAAGATTAATTCATCAGGGTTGACGTGGTTACCTTTAATCTCA